TCTCCATCTCTGACTTCAGAAGGCCTGCATCCCGGTGACTCGAATCTTCCTGTCTCTTCTCTTATAAGAATAACAGTCTTAGGTTCACCCTAAATTCAGGATGATCTTACCTTGAGATTCTTCAATTAATTATATCTGCGAATATTCTATTTCCAAATAAGTTCATATTCACAGGTACCTGGAGTTAGGGCTGGGGCTTAACTCTCTGGAGGTTCAACCCATCAACAATGGGTTAGACGCATTGACCCCCTTATGCAACCCACAACAATTCAACATGCTCTCGATGCAGTTTTTATTTATCTTGCAGGTGGGGTAAGTCTGAAACTGCCCGGAAGTAAAGTCGGTGATGAAGATGAGGCCCAGGCCTGACGTACTTGTTGGCCTCCATCCGGCAGAGTGGAGAAGTAGACTGGTGTCTTTCATTCCTAAGCTTTACGTACTTTTAGAAGTAACTTTGATTCGTGGCAAATTTTATCGTGCTGCCAACACTAATCGTTTTCTACTGGGGAATAATAATCGCATATCGAGTATGAAATTATTCTGTCATCCATTCAAAAACATTTCTGCACAAAAGGAAGCAAAAAAAGCTGGGGTAGCAAAACTTTTTTTCCGACAAAATAGACTTTAAGATAAATGCTGTAACAAGAGACAGAGAAGGACCCAGCAATTACTCTTCTGGGTATTTATCCGAAGAAACTCGAAACACGAATTAGAAAAGATATATGTACCCTGTGTTCATTATAGCATTGTTTACAATGGCCAAGATACGGAAGCAACCTAAGTATCCATCAATGGAGGAATAGATAAAGAAAAGGTGGTACATATAGAGAGTGGAATATAATATTATCAGCCATATGAAAAATGAAATCTCGCCATCTGCAACAATATGAATGGATCTACAGGGTATTGTGCTGAGTGGAGTAAGTCAGACAGAGAAAGACAAATGCCACATGATTTCACTTACAGGTGGAAGCTAAAACACGATAAACGAACAAACAAAACAGAAACAAACTCAGTTAATGATTGCCAGATGGGAGGGGGGTTGCGGGTGGGTGAAAAGGTAAAGAGATTAAGATATGCAAATTGCCAGTTATAAAAAACAGTCACGGGATTTAAGATATACCACGGGGAATATTGTCAATAATATCGTAATAACTATATGTGAAGTCAGATGGGCACTAGACTTATCGAGGCGATCACTTTGTGAGTTATATAAATGTCTAAGCACTATGTTGTACACCCCAAACTAATGTAATATTGAATTCAACTGTAATTGAAAAATTAAAGATTATTACAAAAAACATTTCTGCAGAAACTGCTTATTCTGAAACTTGGTCAATAGATTCACACATGTTAAAACCACAGGTGCATTCCTCTGTTGGACTTCCGTTAACCTAACTGTGCATAAATGGCTCACCCGTGAAAGAAACACACACAAGAGAATCTAAAACTAACTTGCTGCACAATTTTACAGAGGTGGCATTTAAAATTTGGCAAAATAGGACACTGGATTTTGGATATGAGTATATTGGAATAGAATCTTAAGGAAAAAAAAAAAGGTTTTCCAAAGAAATGTGAAACCAGCCACAGGATTTATATTGTTAATAATTTCTAGACCCAGACCTAGGTAAACAAACAGAGTTCTAACTACTTTCATCGTTATTATATATACGAATCAAAATAGAGGGGTACCTGGCGGTTTAGAAACAAATGCATTGGAGAGTAAGTTTTGTTGTTGTTTTTAAATTGCAGTCCTACGTAAATTCTGGCCTGTGGGTAAGGAGTTCTGCCTGCATGACATCTGAGCTTGCTTTGGAAGGTCCTTATCCATATGGTGGAGAATTAAATGCCCCACCCTCCTTGAATCACTTGACATGGCTCTGAAAGCCAATTCGACATTCATAAACTATTTCTTTTTTATTCGGAAACATTTAAGGAAGTTTATCAAGAAAGAGTTCAGTGGAAATTAGGGAAATAGAGAAAATGTTGAAATGTTTGTTTTTCATTTCGGGCCTGAGTGACAGAAGTCTTTTTTTTTTTTTTTTAAACAACTATGTTACAAATGCAATTGCGTTCTCCTAAAATTTATATGCTAAAGTTTTAACCCCCAGCCTGACTGTATTTGGCAATGGAACCTCTAAAGAAGTAATTAAGATTAAATAAAGTCATAAAAACAAGGTGTCAATCTAATCGAATGAGGGGGAGACACGAGAGAGCTTTCTCTCATTCTCTTGGGAAACACCGAGGAGAGGTCATGTGAGGACACAGAAGGCAGGCAGTCCCGTGCAAGGCAGGGAGAGCGTTCTCACCAGGAAGGACACCTTCCTCTCAGACTGGCAGCTCTGAACTGTGAGAAAATAAGTGTCTGTGTTCTAAGCCACCTCGTCTGTGGGATTTTGTCATGGCAGCCTGAGCAGATACACCAAGCGCAAAAGTTACACCTTAGGACGTTAGCCCCTGAAGCATGACTGGAAGGGTTTGTAAACATACGCGTACCCCATGCCTCCATGTCGTTCAGGGTCTCCCTTTTGGAAAAGCGAAGACACATGCATATCTCCATCATCTCAACTCGCACCATCCTAACAAACGAGATCCAGGTATTCCAGAAATAGACATCAATGAGAGGCGTCAATCAGTCCTTCTGGGGAATCGGTGACCACACCATAACCTGTCGTCCAATCAGGCCCTGGGAGTTGATTGGTGGGCGGGCCGAGTTGCGGGTCACGTGGCAGGAGTGGGCTATAAAAAGAGGCGACGAGCGGCGGACTCTGGCATTCGGAGCTGGTCTCCGCCCGGGAAGCTTCGCGCTGTGACGGGAGCTTTCGGACGAGCCGTCTCCTGAAGGCCGTCGCCGGAGACATGGAGGCTGCCGTTCTCCGTCGCGAGGGTGGCCCTCAGCTCAGTGACGCCCCGACGCTCAGGTCCGCCTGGCCGGGGGCGGGCGATGCCGAGGCGCTGGGGGGACGGCGCGGGCCCCTGGCGGTGGGCGCGGGGCTCCGGAACCTGGGGAACACCTGCTACGCGAACGCGGCGCTGCAGTGCCTGACGTACACCGCGCCGCTGGCGCGCTGCCTGCTGTCGCGTCGGCACGCCGAGGCCTGTCAGAGGCCCGCGTCCTGCGTCCTGTGCGCCATGCGGGCCCATGTGGCCCGGGCCCGCCGGTGCCGCGGAGAGGTCATCCAGCCCGCGACGGGGCTGATCGCCGGCTTCCACAGACACAAGCAGGAGGACGCGCACGAGTTCCTCATGTTCACCGTGGACGCCATGCAGCAGGCCTGCCTGCGTGAGCCCGAGCGGCGGGGCCGGCGCTGCGGCGACAGCACCCCGATCCGCCGAATCTTCGGAGGGTACTGGAGGTCCCAGGTCAAGTGCCTCCGCTGCCACGGCGTTTCCGACACTCTGGACCCGTACCTGGACATTACCCTGGACATCCAGGCGGCGCAGAGTGTGACCCAAGCTTTGGAACTGCTGGTGAAGCCCGAAAAGCTGGATGGTGACAATTCGTATCATTGCGGCGTTTGCCTCGAGAAGGTGCCTGCTTCCAAGACGCTGACTTTGCACGCTCCCTCCGAGGTCCTCATCCTGGTCTTGAAACGGTTCTCGGATTTCACAGGCAGCAAGTTGGCCAAGGAAGTGCAATATCCTGAGCACCTTGACATGCGACAGTACCTGTCCCAGCAGGACGCAGGACCCCTCGAGTACGAGCTCTACGCCGTGCTGGTCCACGCCGGGGGGACCTGTCGCAGCGGACATTACTTCTGTTACATCAAGGCCGGGAACGGCCAGTGGTTCAAAATGGATGACGCTAAGGTGACCGCCTGTGATGTCTCTTCTGCCCTGAGCCAGGATGCTTATGTCCTCTTTTACATCCAGAAGAGGGAATTGCAAAGAGACGGCGGGAGTGTGTCGGCAGGTGAGGAACAGAGGTGTCACTGGGCCGAGCGCACAGGCACACGAGCAACCCCGCAGGAGCCTGAGACGGATTCCGAAGTCACGGGCCCTGAGGCGGAGGAGCCCGAGCGAGGGACATCAGGCGAACAGGTCACCTTGGAGCAGTGGAGACTCCTCCAGGAGCAGTCGCGAGCGGAGCCTCAGTTCAACCTCAGGAGAATCGAACGAGCCCTGCCCGCCGACGCAGTCGTGATCCATGCGTCCAAGTTCAGCGGCGGGGTCACCGAGAATCGTCCGGAACAGGAAACCCGGCTGCTCAGAGATGCAGCCGGGGACGTCCCCCCTCAGGGGGCCAGACACAGCGGCCGAGTCCCTTGCCTCGGAGGGAGAGCCAAGGCTACCAAGAGGAAGAAGAAGGGGTGGCGGCCTCTGGACGTGCTCCAATAATGTCACACGGCGCCTGCCCGCACTCACATGCACAGCCCATACGTGGGCGATGAGTCGTGTGTGGCCGTGACTCGTCTAGGCAGGGGGAGGGACTGGCTGCACTCATGAGGTGTGGCCTTCATTGTGGACTTGTGAGTCCCGAGCTTCGAGGGGTGACAGTCCACAGCGAGGTCACTGGAGATCGGGTTGATGGCTGGGTCTGGGGACCCGCCAGTGGGCTGTGTGTGAAGGGTCAGTGGTTGATGGGACATGTGATGTTTACAAGTGGGATACTTGCGAATCGATTTAGTGACTTTTAAATATTAAAAGGGAGTGCGTTGGGGAGATGGGGAGAATGGCGTTGATTTTCCCCGTTTGTTTAACCGCGGGCCGCGGGGGGCGGGGCGCCGGGAGGGTGGGTGTTCGCCGTGGGCGGTGCTCGGACTCAGCGGATCTGTTCCTCCAGCTATTAAAGGGGAGATTGGCGCTGGGAACCAGAATTTGAAGCAGCAAACGTGGCCCATGCACAACGCACTGAGGCTGCCAAAGGGCCAGAAAGGGGGACCTGTTTGGAGGGTGAAGCACTAAAGGCCGCTTGTGCGACCCGGGACCAGGGAGGGGTGCCACTGCCCTACAGGTGGGGCCAAAGCTTTGGAGGGGCCAAGCCATGGGAGGTGACCTGAAACAGGAGGGGCAGGGCCCTGTGGCAGGAGTGGGGGGCTTTGACCCGGGCAGATGGGAAGAGAGTCGTCGGCAAAGGGCGGGAAATGAGAAGGGAAGACAGGAAAGAGGGGTGCTGGCCTTACAAGGGGACCTGGGGCCAGACCTCATGTGAGGGGTGTGGAGAGAAGGGGGCGGGACAGCGGGGACCGGAGCCTGGCTGTGGAGAAGGGAATCGGGGCCAGCTGTTGGCAGGATGACCATCTCTGTTGCCCAGGGGAGGTGGGTCCGGCCTTGGGCTGTGAGGAGAGTGGACGCGAGCGGGGACAGCAGCGTGGAGGAAGCGAGAATCCTGGAGCGAGGGAGCCGGAAGCCGGCCGGAGGACAGCCCCGCGGGCCGACCGAGGCGAGAAGGGCCGGGGACGCAGGCAGGCTCCTGCCAGCGAAGACCACCAGGCAGCCAGAGGCAGCCCAGGGTCAGCCGCCCGTGCGTCTGCCTCGAACCTTCTAGTCATCAGAAAATCAGGGGCGCCTTTCTCCTAGAAGCCTCCTCCATGTTTTAAAACCACAAGTAGGATTCCTAAGCAGTTACAAAAACAGCGATGGGTAACCTAAATAGCGACCATGATGACAAATAATTTTAATAGCGATGTAAATATTAATAGATGGAAGTTAGACTAGAACCCCCCTTAAGTGAATTAGTGATGTAAATATTAAGTAGATGGAAGTTAGATTAGAACCCCCCTTGAGTGAATTAGTGATGTAAATATTAAACAGATGGAAATTAGAGCCCCCCCTTAAGTGAATTAGTGATGTAAATATTAAATAGAAGTTAGATTAGAAATCCCCCTTAAGTGGATGGCAACGGCCCAGCAGGAGCCTCCTGAGGTAGCTGGAGTCTGTGTTCTAGGACTGCACCATGTCCCATGTTCCTTGATGACAAAGAGAAGCAGGATGAGTGAGTCAGGGCCTGGAGAACCTGTGTGATTGGGGCGAGTCCTGTGCAAATTCCTCCCGCAGAAGTCCAGTGGGTGGAGGTGTGGGGCTTGGCCCTGACCTGCCGTCCACTGGACACTCAACAGTTTCAGCACTGCAGCCAAACGGCAGGCTGGGTGGGTTCCCCACAGGAGGACAGGACCCGAGAGCCACACCGGGGCCTCCCCTGGGGCTCGGGAGGACTGCATGGAACGTGCTCCAGAGCCTGCTGTCTGCCGCCCGGTCCTGCGGGGCTTCTGGTCCCACACCTCCACCAGAGGGTGCCTGCCAGGCACCCTCACCCCAGGCTGGATCTGGAGCTTTCAGGGCTGAGTTGACTTCCATCACTTCATAAGGGACAGCGTGTCCTTGGAGTGTTTTGCTTTGGCGTCCAGGCCTGCAGGTGTGGGTTCCATGACCATGAGAGTATTTCTGATTTTTTCCATGTGCTCTAAAAAGGAGAGGACACCCTCCTCTAGTCTCGCCAGCGAGCATACGGACAGTCCCTGTCCCAGAGGGGACATGTAAATAGCAGCTGGGGCTGTCCGTAGGTCAGTCCTAATCACCATCATGAATCTGGATACCCTTCAAGAACAGAGAAACTCTATACCAGGCTGTGTGACAACCACCACAATTACCCTGTCATGTATTAACCTGGCCTTACATTCCTGGGATAAATCCACTTGGTTGTGCACGCGAGCCTTTACAATGTTGCTGTAGTTTGCATTTTGTTAAGAATTTTGTATTGATAGTCATAGCGATATTGGTCTGTAATTTTTTTGTGATGCCTTTTCTAGCTTTGTTATAACTACTGGCTTCATAGAGTAAGTTAGGACATGCTCCATCTTCTATTTTTTTTTTTTTTTTTGGAAGATTCGATAAGGATTAGAGTTAATTCTTTAAATGTTTGGTAGGTTTCACCAATGAAGACATCTGGTCCTGAGTTCTTTCAGGTTTTGTTGAAAATGTATTGATTACTGACTCAGCCTCTGCTACAGGTCTATTTAGTTTCTATTTCTTCTTAAGTCAGTTTAGATAGTTTGGGTTCTTATAGGTATGTGTCCGTTTCATCTGCATTATCTAATTGTTGACATGTAATTATTCATAGTTCTGTTATCCTTTTTAGTTCTGTAAGGTCAGTAGTAATGTCCATTCTTTCATACCTGATTTTAATAATTTGAGTCTTTTTTCTTGGTCATTCTAATTAAAGGTTAGTCAATTTTTTGATCTTTTCAAAGGACCAGCTTTCCTATTCTATATTTTTACACATATATTTAAACACATTTCTGCACGTAATACTTAATGGTCAGCACAGCCAATAACTGAAATAACATTATTCTCAACATGACTGAGCAGGGATCACTGCTAGAAACATCTTCTTATACATGTCTTTAGACACTTGTCTGTAAGCATCATATCATGGTTAGCACGCTCAGACATAACTCTTCTCGATGCGGTGTAAAAAATTTTTTGAAACATCTTTTTTACATCCATGTTCAAACACATCTCCACACGTTACAGAATGGTCAGCACGACCATTCACTGAAATAACACTGGAATTTTTCTGTTTTCTATTTCCTGTACATCTGTTCTAATCTTTATTACTTCCTTCTTGATTTCAGTTTATTTTGCTCTTCTCTTTCTCGTGTTTTAGAGGCTAAGAATGGCTTATTTCTTCTTCTTTAGTGCAGGCTATAAATTTCCCTCAGAGCACTATTTTTGCTGCATCCTATAAGAACCGGTATGCTGTTTCACACTAAACTTTCATTCATCTTTAAGTTTTCTCTAATTTCCTTTGTGGTCTCTTCTTTGACCCACTGGCTATTTAAGAGCATGCTATTTAATTTCCACATATTTATTCTCGAGTTTTCCTTCTGTTATTCATCTCTAATTTCATGTCATTGTGATTGAAGAACACACTTTGCGTAATTTTAATCTTTTTAAATTTACTGAGACCTGTACTGTGGCCTACTATGGTCTATCCTGGAGCATATAAGCATGTACACCTGAGGAACATATGCTCCGCTGTGGTTCGTGGAGTGTTCTAGTAACTAGAAGTCTGTTAATTCTAACTGGTTTATGATGTTGCCCAGCTCTTCATTACCTTGCTGTTCTTTGTTTTGTTGGTTGGAGTTACGATCTAATATCCTTTCATTTCAGCCCCAAGAGCTCCCTTTAACATTCATTTAGGGCAGTGATCTTTTAAAACTTTGGTGATTATCATAGAGCCTGGCCCCTAGTGGACACTTAATAAATGTGATTAATAATAAGAGTAATGAAAAAGCTGGCTAACGTATATTAAGTTCTAGCAAATTCTTAAAACTTTTTTTAATCGTGAAATATACACGTGAGTTCATCTAACATAGACATAAACTTCAGGGAATAATGAAATGAACAATCGCATACCAATGAACCAGCCTAAAAGGAGAAAATTAGCGACTTCAATAGATCCTGTGTCCCTCCCCAGAGACAATCCTGAACTGTGTTAATCACGTCTCATATTTTCCTTATATCTTTATAACACGTGTATTCATGAATAATTTTAACTTTTATTTTAAAATTCTGTAAGTGAAATCAGATTATTACTGATTTTTTTGTTGTTGTTCAGCATTATGTATTTGGAAATCATCCTTTTTAATCAGAGTATTCCATTAAATGGACATATCTGAAGACAAGTGAGCTCACAGCAGACAGGAAAGGCTATGCTGAGGTGACAAACAACCCCTGACGGGAGTATAAGAGACTCTAGGATCAAGCCCTAGAGTATACTGACTTTAAAAATTTACAAATAGAGGCCAAAAAGCCAG